GCAGGGCTGATGAGGGGTTATATAAGACGATGAAGGGGAGGAGCCTATCAGAGGTCACCAAGCCTACATTCAAGACGTTTTTGGTTTATGTGGAATATTTCTCTTTGTGTCTGTCAGCGTGTGCAGTGACGCTGTGGCTTACTTCCTGACGCTGACGTCTGAGAGCCACCGTGAGGCCTGGACTAACCTACTGCTGCTCTTCCTTACCAAAGTGCTCAAGATCAGCGACGACAGGGTGAGTGTGGGATTCACTGCAGACAGATGTGTGCGCTTGCACAGAATCCTTTAGTCCAGCTTTTCCCAACTGGGAGTTTACGATCCTCTAGTGGGGCATGATGGAACTGCACTCCGGGATATTTTAAATGATAATGTATACATTTTTAAACAAATGCAACATTTAAACTTTTATATTTTAACATGAATAATTCCAGTCCTAGTTTCTGGTCAATACAGCATTCAAGTATACTTAATAGCATTAAATAGAAAGTTTTGGTTACAGTTTTATATTAGTGATGTTACAGTGTAATTACACAAGTAGTGAGTAATATCAATCAACTACATTTATTTACTATAGGGTTAGGATTTGGTTTAGAGTTAGCTTTTTGTAATTATGCATAATTTACTATAAATCACTATAGTAAAGTACGCGTTGCGTGTAATTGTCTCCTTAAAATAAAGTGTTGCCAAAGTTTTTAATAAATATTGTGATATGTATAATATACTGTATGTAAGCTATATAAAATATTTAAATGTTTTTATATTATTTTTTTAAAGAAATTAATACTTTTATTCAGCAAGGGGCTCATTAAATTGATCAAACTTGACAGTTAAGACTTTTATAATGTTACAAAAAAAAAACGCTGTTCTTTTGAACTTTCTATTCATCAAAGCATTCTGAAAAAAGTATTAATGGTTCCACAAAAATGTTAAGCAGCAATGTTGTCTGCGTTGATAATCAATACTTTTTGATCCTCAAATCAGCATATTAGAATGATTTCTGAAGGATCATGTGACTTATGACTGGAGTAATGATGCTGGAAATTCAGCTTTGACATCACAGGAATAAATTACATTTTACAATATATTATTAAAATACAAAACAGTTATTTTAAATAATTGTAATATTATTTCACAATATTTACTGTATTTTTGATTAAAGGGTTAGTTCACCCAAAAATGAAAATTCTGTCAGTAATTACTCAACCTCATGTTGTTCCAACCCCGTAAGACCTTCGTTCATCTTCGGAACACAAATTAAGATATTTTTGATTAAATCTGAGAGCTGGATCACTCCTCCATAAGCTTCTTAAGGCATCGAAACTGGCCGGCCCAAAAGTTATGAAAGACATTGTTAAAATAGTCCGAGTGACTACAGTGGCTCAACCTTAAGTTTATCAAGCGACGAGAATACTTTTTGTGCGCAAAAAACAAACAAAAATAATGACTTTATTCAACTAATAATTTTCTTCTCTGTGGGCCGTGATATTTCACGTAGTGATACTACGCAAAGCTTCTAGGTTGTACGTCACGCATCACACACGTGACCAGCGTCGGCCAATAGTGAGCCTACGTGTGACGTGCAACCTAGAAGCTTTGCACTACGTGAAATATCAGGCCCACAGAGAAGGAAATGATTAGTTGAATAAAGTCGTTATTTTTGTTTGTTTTTTTGCGCACAAAAAGTATTCTCGTCGCTTGATAAACTTAAGGTTGAGCCACTGTAGTCACTCGGACTATTTTAACGATGTCTTTCATAACTTTTGGGCCGGCCAGTTTCGATCCCTTAAGAAGCTTATGGAGGAGTGAGACAGCTCTCAGATTTAATCAAAAATATCTTAATTTGTGTTCCGAAGATGAACGAAAGTCTTACGGGGTTGGAACAGCATGAGGGTGAGTAATTACTGACAGAATTTTCATTTTTGGGTGAACTAACCCTTTAAATATCAGCCTTGGTGAGCATAAGAAACTTCTTACAAAAACTTACCAACATACTTATTTCAATTATTTAGGGCATATAAAATGGTAGTCCATATCACAGGAGCTGGATCTGTTTAACAGAAAATCGTTTAAATCCTAAATCAAACTAATTCATATCATTCACATCATTAATGCTCAGTCATTTTTAATCTCGCTCATTTAGAGTACTAATGTCAATACCGCAGGTTTGTGTTGATATAACCAATTATAAGAGAACACCTGGCGCTAATCATCAACGATTACACCAGGGTGTGGGTTAAGAAAAACGAATGTAATTAAACTATTCTTGTTCTCTTTTCAGTTCAAGGCCCACGTGTCCCGATACTACCCTCTGCTTTGTGAGATCATGCAGTTTGACCTGATCCCGGAGCTGAGGGCCGTCCTGCGCAAGTTCTTCCTGCGCATCGGATTGGTGTTCCAGATCACCCAGAGTTTGGAAACGGATCAGCCTCCCAACAACGCCTAGAAGCAGCAGCAGTGCCTGTCCCTGAACGCCACAGACGTCTGAAACACTGCAGGACACGATCATATGATCTCCTCTAACCATGTCAGATATGATGGTACTAAAATCAACCCCCCCGCCTACCCTTTCAGGATCTGCTCTGGACAAACAGCCAATAGCAGAACAGGAACAGTCTCCCACCCACCGGACAACTGACCAGGCCTTGTACAATAGGATCAAATTATGTAGAACATCATGAAGATGCTGAATATCGCTACTACTATACAATTTGCTTGACCTTTGAGATCCTCAAAAGGTCCAGATATATTTCAAAACAGTGTCTTGGCATTATATTAAAAGCTGTTTGAAGAATGGCAGAAGGGTTGCATATCAAGCAATGTGATGTGATGTTTCTCAAGTGATTCAGATTTTTTTTTCTTTGTTGCATTTGCACCGCTAATGGCTAACATTAGCATAAATAACTCCGAAGAAACTAGTTGTACAGAATTCCAGCTTTGTAATATAATCTCACAACACTAGATTTTGTTTTCTGTATCTTTTTTTTCTTTTTTTTTTTCGTTGGTTTGTTTCTCGGAAATTTTGCTGCACTTGTTTTCTTGATCAAAATGCACTGGAGATTTTTACTTTTGTGATAAATTATTGAACTATGCCATCTTTCCCTCCATAACTGTCCAGCTAGAGATTTCTAATACGATACAAAATGATTAGTTCGATTTACTCCATTTTATATATGCTGACACTTTTTTAATTCAACACAGAGGGCAACTGAGATCCTTTAAAAGGAAAAAAAACTGGAACTTGAAAATTGAGGGTGACTTACGTGTGAGCTGCATCTGAATCACTGGTTTGTATCCCTATTTGAAGTTTGGCTTCACTCTACGTGTACAAATTTTTAAAAAAGTTAATATATTTAAAATCTTCTCTTTGGTTTTGGGGGTGGGATGTATTGTATAGAAATTAATGATAGCTGCGCTTTAAAACTTGATGGAATAAGGACCTGAAGCATTCCTGACTAGTGGGGGTCAACTGTAATGGTACAGCCCTGTAAAGTTTTCTATATGGAATAAAATGATCTGTACAACTCTATACGACACTGGTCTTCATCACACATTCTAATTAGGTCAAGAAAGATTTGGAACTGGGTCCATTTGCCCTGATGAATTTTGAATCATTTTTACATCCTTTACAGGCCCACCAGCGACTACCAATATAAAAAGCCAGAGCTTTACATACAATTTAAATTGAGTTCTATGCACTGAATGAAATAATCTCAGGTTTAAAAAAAAAAAGTAAATATACACACTATTATTCAAAAAATGGTCACAGTAAGATTTTTTTTTTTTTTTAAGAAAAGAAATTGCTACTTTTATTCAGGATCAAAACGCATGGTTGAAGACAACCTTTTTCTACATTAATGAAACGTTGCTTAAGCATCAAACCAGCATAGAATGATTTCTGAAGGATCATGTGACACTGAAGACTGGAGTAATGATGCTGAAAATGTTTTAACATAGTTGTAAATGACATTTTTAAACATTAAAATCCAAAAATAGTTGTGTAATAGAATATTGATCGAATAAATGCAGCATTGGTGAGAATAAGACTTTTTACAAAACAAAAAAAATGTAAAAACATCTTACCTTACTTTTGAACGGTACTCTGTTAAAAGTATATATATTTTTAAAGTAAATGTATATACGATTTAACGATGTGCTGCAAATTTCTTTCCTAGAGAAATCCACGGACATTGAAGGACTTTCCTAAAGTAACGTCAGTGCAAGTGTTGTTCACTAACTTTTATACTGCGGTTGAAACACTACTGAGCGATTGCATAATAAGAGATATATTGCATTTTTGTAAGTTGTACAGTTTCTCTCACCATTCCATTTCGAGCTAAAATGAGTGTAAGAAAGATGATCGGTTCGCGCTCGCTTTACTTGCAGTTTTAACTAAAGCGGTTACAGAGATGTCACATTAAAGAGCGATATTTACTGTTTGAATTTGCCAATTTGAAAGCGAGGTGCACGATCACAACAAATAAAATTGACCTTTTTTGCTATAATCTCATTTCTCCACAAACGACGCATTGTGAGCCGTTTGAAAATGACGGAATGATTCCAGTTCATAAGTCAAGAAATACAGGCTGGAAATATTTTTAAAGTCACCATGAAATCAAAATAGTTCCTTTTTAATGGAATATTTCAGTATTTGTGCTTTTGAATTCACTGTGCCCAATTCGTAATCAAAATAATTTCCACTCCCTCTTGCAGACTTCTCTGATGACGTGTGTACTGGTGTGAGGGCGGGACAACCTGTCACTCACATGATGTCATAGCAATATTAAACCACAACCATCCAGTGAAATAATGGAAAAAATCAAGTCCCACCCTACATTTTTTCTTGGTCGAGAAGCCATTTCACTCAGATATGCGTCATGAGAAGAGAAAAAAGACAATCGCAACATCCATTTCATGACGACTAAGACAATTTTATGGTTGAAACCCTAGTTTAAACCTAGCCACAGATGTCACTTGAAATAAGTGCATTACAGAACAAAGTGTTTAAAAATTCTTAAAATATTTTATTTATTAAGAGTCAATAGACTCAATTACATTACCTTCAATTTTCAAGTATACAGTTTGCATATGCTTGCATAACCTCATATACCTACAATTCATCTTCTGTAAAGTTATCATTAAAAATGAAACACAAATTGCAACATTGGAAGTACCGATCTCTTACCTGACAAACAAACAGAATTCATGCCGTTTACACATTCATACACTGTCACAGTAAAAGTGAATTTCTCCCAGACTGCACTCTCTGGCTGGAGGGAACAGACTTGATTAATGCTCCAAAAACAGACTCTTAATGCTACAGGAAGTGTTCCAAAACTTCCTAAGTGTAATATTTCATTTCACAACAATTTACAAACAAAGAGGAAACAAAAGAAACTTGACTGATAAATTGTAAACATTCATCTTGAGCATCATGTGTACACGTTTGAATAAACGTATAAAATAGCTATACAAAGTTACAAAACTGGTTAAGAATTCAGAATGAGATTTAACCATGATAAGTGGACGGCCCTTCCCAATCCTGGCCTGCATGGTTTCGGCTGGATGGCCTGCGACCGCCCATGAATCTCTTCAGCGTATCTGAGGAACTAGGACGTAACCAGGGCTCTGTGGCAATGGTGTCAATGGAAACACGCCGATTGGTTGAAGGAGTCTGTGGCCATAGCTCCTCCCCTTCCTCAGCTGACACTTCCCCTAGACAGCACAAAAGATACACCTCTCAATGCTTCTGACCTACTAGTTTGTGTTTTCAAGCTAACGGTTTAGCATAGCAATAAATATTCAACTCTTTCGCCGCCAGCGTTATTTAAACAAAAAAAAGTTGCCAGCCACCGTTTTAACGTTTTATTCTAGCTTCATGCATTCTTTTTTTTTTTTTTTTTTACACTTAAAAAAAAAGCTACATTTATAAATAGTCTGGCTGGGCGAGAATTCAAATCCAGAGTTCCTGACCTGATCTCCAATCGTGTTCTCTCATGTTGCTCAGTGATGTCATCTTGTTCTTTGTGCGCTCCCTCAGCCGCTCTATTTCTGCGCTGGTTAGCGAGTGCAGGGACTGGCTGTCAGGACCGCTGTCAGGTCGGGTGTACCTGTTTACCACATCCTATCGACAAAACAAAAGTACAGTCATTCAGCGCAGAGTCTTTGTGGATGCATTCAATAAAAAAAAATACTAGCTCCGTTCCAAAACCTGATGGAAGGCTCCTAAAGAGTAGGCAGGCTTCAAAGATACCTTGTTTTGACCAAATTCTAAGGCAGACTGCACATATTCTTTAGCAGAGAAGACAGTCGCTAGTAGTAGAGATTAACAAAACTAGCTTGTGTAAACCGTATTAAAACAAATTAATATTAAATTAAATAGGACCTGCATGATTCTGCTGTGGCCAGCATGACCCTCACAGTGCATTATTCAAAGAAGTACCTACTGAGAGGGTACTGAGCGATTTCAGACGTAGCCAAAGATAATACTTTGTCCAACACTTAAAGGGATACTCCACTTTTTTTTGGAAATAGGCTCATTTTACAACTCCCCCAGAGTTAAACTGTTGAGTTTTACCGTTTTTTGAATCCATTCGCCCGATCTCCGGTTCTGGCGGTACCACTTTTAGCATAGCTTAGCATACATCATTGAAGTGGACAAGAACATTAGCATTTCTAAAAAAAAAAAATGTACCTTGAGTGCAGCAGGCGTAATGATATGACGGAGCGCCTGAAAATAGACTACCTTCCGTCAACACAACGGAACTATTTTCAGGCGCTGCGTCATATCATTACGCCTGCTGCATATCATTATGCCTGCTGCACTCATGGTACGGCAGTAAAGTTTCTTGATTATTACGCAGGAATGAGAGTACAGTTCATAGCCATATCAGCCTAGAAAATCGCAACTTTACATTTTCCGTCGGTCTTAGTGCACGATGTAACTACAGAAGAGTCAAGTTTTAAATAGGAAAAATATCGAAACTCATTGGTCATTTTTTTTTTTAGAAATGCTAATGGTCTTGTCCACTTCAATGATGTATGCTAAGCTATGCTAACATACCGCCAGAACCGGAGATCGGCTGAATGGATTCAAAAACGGTAAAACTCAACAGTTTAACTCTGGGGAGTTGTAAAATGAGCCTATTTCCAAAAAAAGTGGAGTATCCCTTTAAGTATCAATATACTATTTTACACAATATTTGTGAGAGGATTAAGGCTGATTTATACTTCTGCGTCGGACCTACGCCGGAGCCTCTACGATCTGTGATCTAGAGTTGGATGCTACAGACACAACATTGTAGACCAACGCTACAATGTTGGTTTTCATTTATACTTCTGCGTCGTTGTCCGCCTTGGCGCGCAATTACGCATGCAGAGGGAGCATGTGAAACCCGGGGACCGGTTCTAGCGGACCAATCACAGCGCTTGCGGTACGCGTAGAATTGATGCGTTGTTACATTTTTGGAGGTGCACGTCAGGGTTCGCCGAAGGGTACGCGCGCTACACACAGCCTACGGCGGGAGGTCGACGCAGAAGTATAAATTGGGCTTTAATCCAATGGAATCAACTGCGAGTCGAGATGAGCACTATTTTTGCCTATATTGAGCGTTCCAGATCAGTTAGTTACAAGATTCCACTGAAGCATATTTTTGCATTGCACTGTCTATCATAGAAAAAAAAATGGAAAAGCAGCGCGGACATGTTTGACCATGTGTTATCGTCTCTTTTTCAGCGTCTCGCACATGACAGGCCTTTCTAAAAACGTGACGCTCAAGTTTAAAAAAAAACACGAGTCTATGGCTGAATTGCATTCTCTATGTGTGTAGTAGACACAGTACAGACATACTACTCTTTATACATATGTTTTTCACCTACTATAGTAAGGATGTGTATGATTTCGGATACAGCTTATATACCCCATATTCTACTGCAATGTGTGCTGCTTGAATATCCCCTTGGAAGGAAGCTGCTCATGTACGAAGTACAAAGTTTTGGAACAGAGCTAATGACTTTGCCTTGGTCAAGTGAGGATGTAGTTGTGTACAACAAGGGTCTCTTACACCAGAGATGTCTGCCTTCCTAACTGCCGGTCTCGCTCTCTGGTCACGCCTGGATTGGAGACGGAATGAATCGCCACTGGGGTCTGTGTAGAAACAACTGATTGGTTATTTACAGCCGACAAACGTTCAGGAACAGCAGGCTCTGCAGGCCTTCCTCTCTCTCGAGCTCAAACATGCACGATTCAAGCAATCAAAGCTTGGTAATTGAAACTGAGCAAATGAAAAGGCATTTAATGAATGAGACCGAGACTGTTTTGGGAACTCATTTACAAGGTGACTGCTGATCTCTCTGGGGCGCTGCTGTGAGGACAGGCATTATCCTCACCCCCGAGTCAATCTCTCTTCTGTCTGGTGTTCATAGCTGTCACACTAGCTGTCCTCCGTCCCTGCTGGCAGTGACAGCAGCTGTCTGACGGTGGTGTCACGCATTGTCTGCTGCTCATACTGACACACACACACCCCTATACTTCCCATAGACGCCTATTGTTTCTAAATTATGTTGATCGATATGCCCCAACTCTAATGTACCCCTTAAGTGTTTTTTAAATGACATATCAGATTATATTACTTAAGCTAAATGGTCAAATAAAAAATGATCTAAAGAACTAAATATCACAAGAATGTGATTTCTAACAGGCATAATTGTAGGATACAATTTTGCAGGGGAATAGGATCTTGCATATCACTGAGACTGTGTTGCAGACAAGCAATGTAACTCAACTTATGTGTTAAAGCCCTGGCGAGATTTCATTTCAGTTTCTGAAGACCTTTTTGGAAGTATGGGCTTTACAAATATATCAAAATAATTAATGGCAGAATATGTTAGTATACATATGTATGATGTCCTTTCTTCTGTTTAACACAAAAGAGATTTTGAAGAATGTTGGTAACCAAGCAGTTTTGGTTACCATGGACTTCCATTCTTTCAAAACTATTTCTTATTCAAAAAGGAAAAAGTCATGCAGGTTTGGAACCACACGAGGGTCAGTATTTTGGGGTAATCTTACCCATATGTATATATGCTGGTGGGTGTAACTTAAATGTAATCTAGAAGTCTAAACTTTTCATGTGAAAAAGCATTTGTGTCACGTTGGTGAATAAAAGGCTTCCCTCCGTTTTTCATTTTAGAGGAACTTACCAATAAAGGCGCTCTCTGAGTCTAACAGCAAGCGTCTGCCTTGGTCCTCTGCAGAATTCAGCCTCTGGGGTAATAAACACATCAATAAAGACGTCAAGTCAATAGCCAGAACCGTCAGACAGTGCTAACGGAGTGCAGATACCCTTTAAGGGCTCAGGAAAAAATGAGTCACAAAAAAAAGTAGACCTTTTTATAGACATACCTGCTTATGATGCTGCTGTCCTGAAGACACCACATCAAAGTAATCTGCCCAGGGGAATACAGGTATGAGTTCACAATTTTTTTTAGATTTAATTTTTAATTTTATATTCATATATTCAATAAATGCTAAAAACATATATGTTATATATATATATTTTTTTTTTGTTTTTACTGTCACTTTTGATCAATTTAATACATCCTTGCTGAATAAAAGTATTAATTCCTGACCCTAAAATTTTGGCCAGTAGTATATATATTATACGTTTCTGAATAAATGCATTTTGAACGAATTAATCAGGTGAACCAATGATTCAATGGTTCATTCATAAAGAGAGCAATTGACTCAAATTTACTCTTAATTCTTGAATGAATCAGCTGTTTGAATGAATCAACTCAATGACTTAGTATCACTTCATATTTCCATAGAAAAAAAAAAACATTAAAAGTATAGTTCTCTCAAAAATTAAAATGATGTCATCATTTACTCACCCTCATGGCCATTGAAGCCTTAAAGTTTGTGTAATAAATTCTATATTGAATCAACAAAAAAAAGCTATTTTTTGTAATGAATATTTGATGCTTTTCCCATTTAACACAATAATCTTTTGGGGGTAATTTCTCAGCCAAATTGTACGTTTCCTTCCGGAGCATAAGTGAATGTTTGAACCTTTTTTAATAGTTGTGTTTGAGTCCCTCAGTTGTCCTTGTGAAAAGATAAATCTCAAAATCATACAGTCACTGCTGGAAAGGGTTCAAATATGCAAAACATGCTGGAAAACTGAAGAATTTGCTTGACCTGGAGGATTTTTCTGAAGAACATTGGGCAGTTTAACTGCTCATGACAAACAGGGGACTCAAGAACAACCATCACAAAACAAAACAAAAAACAGTCGTGGATCATCCAGGTAACGACACCGTATTAAGAATCAATGGTTCATAAACTTTTGAACGGGGTCATTTTAATAAATTCAGTAAATGTAAACTGTAAATGTAAAAAATTTATGTAAAATATCTTATTCAGGACAGTACTAAATAAAAAATAACAAGCATTTTGTATGTATCTCTCTTATTTTGTTCAAATTATTCACATTTTCACAGATTCTGCAAGGGGTTCAGATACTTTTTCTTGCAACTATATTTATATATTATATACCAAAATAGACATCAAAAAAGCCCATCCCTCACAAACAGACTGACCAGCAGCTTTGCCCCTCCTCAGGCTGTTGATGGTTCGTTGCTGGTGTCGTAACAGAGCCTGTTGCTGGATATCTAGACTGTGATCATCACTGGGGGGGTCTGGATACGCCTGCCGCACCTCCTCACGGGATGCACCTTCTGATAACACAAACACACACAGATAAGAGTCAACCTCTCCTCCAGGACTACAGCATCACTGACAGATAATGCAGGGATGTTGAATACAGATATGGACACATATAATCCAATCACAGAAAACACAGACTCATATTGCAAATCAGTGTTGTCCATCATACATGACAGGAGAACAGCAGCTCTGCCATGGCCAAACCAGCTTTCACACAAATGTAGAGAGGGAATCAGAGCTGAAAATAGAGCATGACAAAGCAAGGGCATGGAGCCAGGCACTGAGTCACGGCTCACAGAGACGCTACTCATTTCTCTCCTGCTGGGGGGTTTGATGACTGATACGACCATTCAACCCATGGGGTGAGAGGATGAGAGGGAGAGCTGATGAATCCATCTTCTGAGCAGAGGAGAAGGTTAAAAGACTTCCAAAGGGACATGAAACACAGACATTCCTCTAGGAAAACACATTAGCATCAGGACATCGGATGTAAAATAATGCAGCTTTCACTCAACACCATCCAGGTTTTTGCTCTTGGGATCCAAGAGTAATTAATTTTAAGCCTCAAATTTAAATTCCAACGATAATTCACACTAGCTACAATGATATCCTCCTGTTTAATCTTTAACTTCTCTATTCGCGTCTACGCCAATAACCCAGACAAAATGTCTATTGCCTAGATCTAAAAGTGATATTTTATTTATATACTAGTATAGCATTTATTAATATTTTGAATTGGATTTTATTTTGAACTTTTGGTTATTTGACTTTTTTATTTCAAGGTTTAGTCATTTTGTTATGTTTGTCGTTTTTATTCATCTTTTTATATACAGTAGTCAACATTTGAAGTGGATCAAAAAAGTTCATCAAAGTTGTCCTAAGACAAGAACGGGTATTGCTCAAAATACATGTATAACTTTGATGAAAGGTTTTGATCCACTTCAAATGTTGACTATTGTATATCTTTCTATTTCTTTCATTAATAACCATTTCAGTTTTAGTTAAGTCATTTTAGTACTTCAACTTAAAAATATCATTTAGCTTAAGTTAGCTTACAATGCTACATTTCTAATTTTCTTTTTTTTAATCTAATATTAAAATGTTATTTTCAGCTTAATTTCAATTAACAAAAAAAATTATTAGTAGTTTTAGTTAACTAACAACAACACCAAGTGATTACCAAAGGATACTTTTTATTAACTTCATCCATCCATTCATAAGATCCATCCATCCATAAGATCCATTTATCCATCCATCCATCCATCCATCAGATCCATCATTCTGAATCTAAAAGTTTAGCTTAAAAGGCTAAAACCTAAAATCCATTTAAGGCAAGTCAGTCAACATAGCGGCCATCTTGGCAAGTGGTATCTCACTGAACTCATTTAGCCAGTGTGTTAAAGTGTGACTTTTTGGAGATATTTGGCTATTTGGAGAGCAGATGGCAGTTTTTTGATGTTACACTGAAGCTAACAAAGGATCAGAGCGTGAGCAACAGGAAATGAGTGCGGCTGTTGGTGGATATGTGAAGGTAATAAAGGCTGGTGAATGGGATTTCGGGAGCCATCACGCCTGTGACGAGTCTTTTTGAGTGAAATTACAGGCCCATTGAAGAGTTCTGCAGACGTTTTCCAAGCAAAAGACAGGAAACTCGGTGTGACATTTACCTCTGTACTTCAGATGATTAAAATCTTGTAGGTTGTGCATGTTGGTTGCTGCAGTGGTGTGGGAAGCCGGCCTCCTGCTGGGTACTTGTCTGCGTAGTCTTGCCACTTCAAAACCATCCTCCCGGAGAAGTTCTCTTGGCCTGTTCAATGTACAGTCAGAGGGTCATGATGACAAGACAAACCATGACAGGATGATCAGGTACATCATTCTGAAGGGGTTTATTTTGAAATATTGACCTGTTGACTGTACATTATCCCATTTACTACATGGCTACTTACCAAATAAATAGGAACACCAGTGAAATATACATAATTATGTTTGTGGATGGAAATGAGCTTCATTAAAGACACGTGTTCTGAATGTGTCGGTGCAGTATGTTTGTTTATTACCGTACCTGCCATGAACGGGAGGGATGTGGTCGTTTTCGTTGGACTGCATTAACTGTCCCTCCAGACGTCTCTGTTCGCTCCGCAGCTGCCTACGCAAGGCTGATAACTCCCTGATCACCGTCTGCTTTTCTTCTGAAATAAAAAGACAGTATACAGTTGAGTTCAGGGACTTTGTCCTTTATAGCTCTGATGGCTAGAGTACAAGCGGTGATATGAGTTACCTGTGGCCCTGATCTCGTTCCTGCGGGCAGGCACCGGGGGAGAATGTGGTGCTGACATCGAGCGCATCTAATTGAAAACAGACAGAGGGGAAAACATTGTTAGAGAACAAATTAAACTAGAAAATAAACACTTTTCACACTCTCACTAGTGTGCCCATAATTGAGGAAAACACCCAAGCGTTGCCGTCTAAACGGCAAGTAAAGCATGATATAATTGTGTGCAGGTGTGTCACTCACAGACACAGTTGCAGAAGAGCGGTGGCTCTCCGCCGACGGAGGTCTAGGAATCTGCTTACGTTGTATCTTCTGCAAGGCTGGTAGGGGTGGTGACGGTGCCCTGTGGACCTTTTGGTATTTGAGAATGATTTGTCAGCACAGAAAAGGATGTTTGGCTTGAGGTAAAAGCCTTATGAACAAATGTAACAGACATGATAATGTGGACCCTTCACCTCCTTCAGATGTGTCTGCTTCTCTCTATCGTGTCTCTTCCTCAGGGCTTCGTTCTCTTTCTCCTCCTCTTCTTTCTTCAGTTTTTCAGCCTCTTTACGGCGCTCTTCGGCTTGCCTGATCAACTCCCCATTTTTGGCTATATGCTGTAAAATAGATGACAGAAAGGAAGCATATCCCGTGAGACTGTAACTTTCTTTCAACGCAAGGTGCGGTCATATTTACAGTTACTCTGTGAAATTTTGCATGTGAAATCCAGTCATTGCAGTAGGAATATTCACGATTTGGAGCTTCACATGAGGGCATAAAAGTTCCCCACGTAGATTTCTCTTACTTTCAAGTTGGCCACATCAATTTGTCGAGCTGACAAACACAAAGCTGCTTGGTTTGTGTGAGCTGTGCTTTATACACCGCTACACAATTGACAATAGAAGTTTGTTTGTTTGTTTTTAGGTCAAGGGCTCAGATTTAGCAAGCATGGTCCAGTTAGCCCCTGCTGGTAGATGCTGTAACTCCTCCAATTATGGGGGTAAAAATCAAATTTTTTTATTCATTGACGGCCTCAAAAGTAGCTGTTTGTTGGGGATTATAAGGGTGTGTTAAAGCCTTTAGAGTATTGACTATTTCATTACATACTCATATGTTCAATCTGGTTGAAGACCAGCACTTCAAAGTGAATACATCTTCCTTTCAGCAAGCACTTTTTGGGATCCATATAATATGACAGCAAAGAACCTCTTTCTCTTTCTGACGTTTCCTCTCCTGCTCTTCCTCATACTCTCTTTCGATCCGAGCTCGCTGTTCGGCAAGCCGCCTCTCTTCTTTCTCGTCCTCGAGCCGGCTCTGCTCCCTCTCTTCTGCCTCTTTTCTCCTCTTTGCCTCGATCTGTTCATCCCAAAGATGATAACAAAGTGAAATGGCAGGCCAAAAGCACAGACAACATTATACAAAGGTGACTGAATGAGGCAAGTACCTGTTGTTTCAAACAATCCTTGTACAATTCCTGGTCATGGAGCTGTTGTGGAGTGGGCAGTTCGTTGAAAAGTTTACCCCGTGCTTGTACAGGTGGCTGAGAAGAGGAAAGACCTGCAGGCTCTACAGGGGTAGAAAGGATTTGGATAGAGTGTTCGGAAAGGTATTTTATTTTTAGCTTCTAAAAGGCTTGATGATAATATCCACAATCAAAGTCAGAAGCTTTAATATTTTTTATACATTTTTATATTTATTTTTAATTAAATATAAATAAATTTTACAAATATAAAAATATATATTTTACCAAATTTCTATATATTTTATTTAGAAGTACCCTATGCAGTACCTTCTTTGACCACTGGCTGAAAACCTACTCTAAGTCATTACAGATATTTAAAGTTCTATTCCACTTTTCTGATTGTGAGACAAATTGTAATTTCATGGCCACAGTTACTTGATGCATTAGGTGAAGTTTCTGTCTTAGTAGCCACTGGAATCTGGGCTACTCTGCCTCCGGAATCATAAGCGTCCACATTTGATTTATGCATTTGTTTCAAATCACCTGAAACACAGAAACATGACTATGATTGAATTACTGTGATAATAAATAAAATCACTATGATTGATACCACAAAATTTCAGTATCAGTATGACTGTAAAAATATAGCATAGACTGAAAAACAATACAAATGTATTAATTGTTTTCCGTGAAGATTGCTAGCTCTCAATTCCAGACCAAAATTTCTGAATCAACTGACACTGAGCTATAAGTGGGATCATGACTGGGATTTACAAAACCATTAAACATTTTGGGGTCGGTAAGGTTTTTAAAATGTTTTTGAAAGAAGTCTCGTATGCTTACCAAGACTGCATTTATTTGATCAAAATACAATTAAACAGTGGTTTAAAATAATGGTTTTCTATTTTAATGTTTTAAAATGTAATTTGTGATGGCAAAGCTGTATTTTCAGCATCATTACTCCAGTCTTCACTGTCACGTGATCCTTCAGAAATCATTGCAATATACTGATTTGTTGCTAAAGAAACATTTGTTATTATTATGAACAGTTGTGCTGCTTAATGGTTAACAGTGTGTGTATAAATATAATTACAGGATGTGGCGATTAATTAATCTAATAAAAAAAAATGTCCAGGATTCTTTGATGAATAGAAAAAGTATAAAACAGCATTTATTTGAAATAGAAAAGTGCTGTCAAATCAATTAATTGTGATTAATCACATCTAACATAAAAGTTTTTGTCTACATAATATATGTGTATATATAATATTATATTTATATATATATATATATATATGTGTGTGTGTGTGTGTGTGTGTGCGTGTGTACACACGACACCAAACTTTTGAATGGTAGTGCATTTAAGTTACATAACTACACTATATAGTTGTGTTCATAATTTTACATACCCATTGTTGCATTTACATGAATATAAATTAGCATTTAAAAAAAGATTATATTCACTATTGTCCTGAAGAAACTGAATAACAAATATTTAAGTATACTGAACCCTAATAAGCATCAATGACTGTTTGTAGACTTCTGTGTTTTTGTGTAAGTGCCTCACTTGACTTGTTGAATATATCAGGGTTCCCACATCTTTTGACCAATTAAATTTTTACATTATGATGTTTACATTTTTACAGTCATTCATGATTACTGGGTAAGGTTTTCACTCACAAAGAACATCTCTAGCTAATGAGATATTTCTGAGTGGAGCAAAGCTAGAAAAACAAAATCAATATTCACTATAGGAAAGGAATACTCATGATTATTCCTTGATTTTCTTGATTTCCATGACCATAAGAACCCTGATACATATAAATATCTGTGTCAAATAATTTTAGAGCAGTTCTAAATAAAACAATAAAAAAATGCATTAGTATTTGATTAATATCTTGCAGATTCACAAAGGGTATGTAAACAATAAAAAAAGGTTTTTGTAATACTCCCACTAATAGTCCACCATTTGTGGATTGCACTAATTAAAACCTTATTAATTATCTGCAGTGATTGCAGCTGACTGGACTGAGTGAGTGTGATCTCTGCATGCGTACTGATGAGATTTCCATGATCGTCTCTAAGAGGGGCTCCTCCTCCTGCTCGTCCCCAGGGCTCGTAAGCCTTCATCTCAGCCTCTATTTTGGCGTCATACAGCTCTTTTTCCAGCTTCTCATGATACCGTCTCTGCTGTCGTTCTTGAATCTGTGCTCCATAAAATTTTGACAATTAGGCTTTGTTCACACAGTGCATCATCTGGTTTGTTTTTCAGACAAGAAAAAAAGTTAAAATCTTATCTGCCCTCTTTTGACAAATAAAAAAACTGAAATATTCATGTTTTTGTTTTGCTCTTCAAACTACAAATAAACTAAATGGAAGAGTTGGGTACCGGGAAAATTGCTGGAAAAAATCAAAGTAGTAGTATTACTCAACATTTAATCAGACTTTAAAAGTAACCTCTGAGAAGAAAAGTTCAAACTTTCAGTTAACCACTTCTGATCGTAACCCTGATCTGCCTCTAGATTCCCTTTACCTTTGGAAATAGTGTATTCTGCTCTGATCTCTTCCTGTCAGACTGCTGAAGTTCGTGGGGAACTCACTAGCATTCAAGGCCATCCGTCTTCAAACCCTTCACTGCACCATTTCAGACTCAATGATCTTACAACCAGGCAGTTTAACAAACATCTTTCCAGCTATCTGAAATATCTTACAGTATAAAGTTCCCCTGAGGAACTTAATAACTGCCTCAGATTTTATTAAAAATATATTCATTTGTGTTCCAAAGATGAACAAAAGTCTTCCAGGTTTTGAAAGACATGAGGGTGAGTAATTAATGACAGAAATTAAATTTTTTGGTGAACTAAATGACTAAACTTTAAATGACTTAATGCTTTTGGCTTGTCCCATGTTAGAGTTTTTGACTCTCTAAACTGTATATAACAATTAAAATCCTACAATGTACAACATACAAATTATGTAGTCATTTTTATTTATTAAATCATTCAAATGTAAAGCTGTGTAACGCTGTTACTGATAGGGGAATTTAAATAATTCATTTGGACCCTTTCTATAGCACAGCATAAAATATTGTGAAAGTACCTGCTGCTTAAGGGCTTCCTGATAGCTACCCGCACTTTCCTTGGGCTGCTGCAGCCTCTTGGAAGAAAAGAACGCTGGTTCTGAGGGAACAACTCCAGCATGGCTGATCGGTCTATGGAGAGACAGATGAGCATTCTGTTATTATATTATATTCTGGTATATCTGAATAAATGTTTCCCCAACTGATACCTCAACTAAACTTGCCATTAAAAAAGCAACTCAAACATTATAAATCTATTTAGAAATTCATATTTCCACAGTATTTATTTTGTTTTGTCATTTCAATATGGAAGTTAAGTATGAAAACATGTGTCTACTGTGTAAGGCCTCCAGAGGGAGGCTGCAGAACGGGCCAATGTGCTTCTGGAGGGATGTGTGAGTGTTGTCCCCCTGCTGGTCCATCTAACACACACACACACACACAAAAACATCATATTAAACAGGGATTCAGCAGCTATATTTAATCACGAAATAGTCAGGGAATCCAAGCTAGAATGCTAAAGCAAAGATAGGCCACTCACAGTAGGCCAGATTGGGGTCTAGAGGATTTCTGGCTCCATAATAGTAATATGCATTATCATAAGGCGTTTGATAGGAGTCAGGGATGGAGGGACCCAAAGGAGGATGCACACCTGTAATTCTGACATCAGAGAACAGAAATATTTCTTTAAATATGCAACAAAACTGTGTATATAGTATTATTGAGGCATATTATTAAATACTTTCACTTTTGTTTTTTCTTTATGTTGTTAATTCAGTACAATTGTTGTTTCAGTGCAAAATCTAAGAACATAACACAAGATCTAACACAAACCTTGGGCCAACTATCTCCCCCAGGGTTCTTGAGAGGCTTCTGTGTTTGTCTTCAGTAACAGTGGTTGCACCATTGGCCCCAAACCCTGCTCGAGCCTCCAGACCAAGGCCTGATGTGTTAGCCAGTCGGCTTAAGACAGTGCTGTGGTCCAGAGACGGGGACTGGAAAGCAACGCGAGGTCTCTCGGGAGGTGCTCTCTCTCTTGGTGCTTGTGGAAGTTTCTCTTCTTTGAGCCGCCTAGCAGAGTCGGCCCCGAAGACCCCAAGACCCAGCCCTGGTTGGTAAGGCACATCCCTTCTCCTGTCCTCGTATTCCTGGGTCATGGCACCAAATTGTCTGATTCGGTCTGCCTGTGGGAAACAAGGTGATATGACTGTAAATAGGAGCACAACAGTTGTTGCATAGCTATGGCTGCAGTGAAAATGTGTCTCAAAGCCCAGGCTACTGGGTCAATCTCAAATTCTGTCAAGTTCCAAAGTGAAAGAAGTTGAACGCTATATTACAAGTCTTCTAAAGCCATACGATAGCTCTGTGTGAGGAATAGGACAAAATGATTCATTGATCATCTTAACCAATTTAGATTATGTAAAACAAAAGCTGCAGAAAGCTTCTTTAAATATTTCTACTTCCCCAGAAAAATAACAGCATATGGGTTTAAAACAACATGAGGCTGAGTAAATAATGACAGAATTATTTTTTCTATTTCATTATGGAAGCACATTTTTAAACTCATAAATTCATTTTTATGACAACTCAAAGGATTTGAAGACAAAATAAAAAAATATACTATATAATAAATATTTAGCATAAAATGGGCTTAATTTTCTTTTTCGTAGAATATTTATGCTAAATATATTCTTACTCTTTAATGTCATGAAATCTTCATTACATAAAAAGTCATTTAAACATTTCTAGATGTACTTCCTAAATGTCACATATTTTTACAAAATATAAAGTATAAAACCATGTTTATAAAAATGTAAAACAATGACTTATCAAAGATTGAAAATCTGACGACCTTCACCTTTTTTTCAGGATCAACAGCGCCTGTTGCAGCCACTCTCAACTCAAGCTCCTTTTCCCTGTATAATTTGAGTTTAGATGGTCAAGTGAATATTTGTGCCCTGAAAGATTTTAATTCAAATACCCACAATCATCAAATCATTTCTCACTTTCTTTTGTTCATCTCTTTTTCGGCTATTTGCTGTAGCAGCTCAAGTTTGTAGCGTTGCTTCCTGCTCTTAGAGGCCTCGTCCCCTTCAGCAGCACCTATACGACCCAGTCACAGGTTACAAATCACAGACACATTTTTATATATACTGTAAATAAAGTTTGATTTGACCTTACCAATCATGAGTCCAGTAGCAAACTCTGTCATGTTCTGCTCGCTTACAGATCTGTGTTGCGCTCGAGTCGGTGCTTGTAGACTACATTAAAATCACACAAAGCAAAAAAAAAAAAAAACTATAAAACTCCATCCAGTGTCTTACACTAAAAACACACCCTGATCTCTGCAGCTCTGGCCAAACCATTACGTCACACACACACATACACAGGATTAAAGAGCCTGGCTGCAGATCCATCAGATGCTTTGAGCCTCCCCATCAACACCAATCAATACAATCCCACTGATAGAATGGACAATAAATCCAGTCGATACAACTTTCCAACACAGCAAACTCAGCGTTTCCTGTCTCTGCATTGTTAGAAACCCTCAGACTTAATAGGTAAATTCTCATTGACTCAATAGTTAAATCTACTAAATTAAGGCTGAAAACCATCACATCTTTCGATTATTTTTTTCCGGCACAGGCAGACTCAAAAGCCAGAAAATTGAAAGGAGGGTTTATATAATACAGACTCCTGCTAGAGTAATTACCACTTTGGCTACTTGATTCACTGCAGTTTTATTTTCACCGAAAGTAAGGTGAAATAAGTTCCTTTCACTGAAAGTAAAGCTGGCTTTATACCCCAATTACTCTAATTGCAGATCAGTACTTGAGTTGATGTGCTGTCAGGGTCTGTCTATTCTTCTGGTGACAGCTGCATTAACTGTGTCTGGGTAAGATGTCAAATTTAACATATCTAAAACTGTGTGCAACCCTTCTACTTTCTATATTGGTTTATATTTGGCTCTTCATCTGTTTAAGCTATTTTTATTCGAATGTTGCTATGGTGATGATCGTTATTTTTCACAGATGTCTTCTAAGAAGTTGTGAAAAACACCATCTGCAAATGGTCTTTTTTTTATTGCAAAAACAAATGTAAGCTTTTTTTCCTGCTTAAACCATCTTCTTTCCATGTATGCATTATATTTGCACTACTTTTGAAAAAATTCAAGTCAGTAAAATTCAGCAAAAGCATTAAATTGATCAAAAGTGACATTAAAGAATGATTTCTGAAGGATCGTGTGACACTGAAAACTGGAGTGATGGCTTCTGGAAATTTAAGTTCTCATCATCCCTGGAATAAGTTACATTTTAAAATATATCAAAATAAAAAATGTGTTATTTTAAATTATAATAATATTTCACAATATTGCTGTTTGTACTGTATTTTTTATCAAATAAATGCAACCTTTGTAACATAAGACACTTCTTTCAAAAACAATTTTTCATTCAAAAATCTTACTGAGCCCAAAATTTGTGTTTGTTAAAGACAATGGAAGATGGACATTAAATATTGATTTGATTTTTTTTGTTAATTATTTATTTATTAACTAATTATTTAGGTCTATATAATTAATTTATTAACTAAACCAAAAATATTTTTACTTTTTATGTAAGCAACAGCGTAAAATCTATTAATGCATGGGGCTGAATTACATGGTACATTTTGTGAATGACGAGCACTAATATTGTGTGTAGGGCTGGGCGATAAACTATATCATATCGAGATTGCGATAAAATTTACGTCAATGACTGATACGCTCTGGACATTTTTACTCGATATGGATAAAACAGCCTATCACACAGCAGAAATAAACGTGACAACAGCCGGTCAGTGCATGTCGCTAATAAGTGATTTAAAGTCTCTGAGTTTGTGTATCAGACGAAACCACGCCGTTCATTCACTTACACACGTGACGTTCACAGTGTTTAAAACGTGTGCCGTCTCAATATATGAAAACGACATGAACTTTATCTCCAGAGCTGCTTTGAGAGTCACTTCACAAGCTTTTCACCTTTTCATTTGAGGAAAAACAACCGTCAAGCACACCAAAACTGAAAATAAAAGTTCGGTTTAACTTCAAGAAATTATGACACAAATATATTATTACTGTATACTAAAATGTACTTCTCAAAGTAATACTAATAATATTATTATTATTTCTAAAGAATATCATACAACCAAAATATTTTTTCATCCATTTTCATTTTAAATTTATACTGTTCTGTTGTGCAGCATCTTATTCGACCAAAATTAAACATGCAATGTTTTGATGTAAATTAATTGTTATATTTTCATTTGATTACATTTTAAAGGCTTGATTAAACTGTTAAAGTTTATATACATTTGTATTAAATCATAAAACACAGAATCCCTCCAAAAAAATTAAATGGAAAAAATAAAATTAAATGAAGACAGTGAAAATTACAACATAAAATTACAACATCCATTAATATAACTAAATTGATCCTCTCTAAATAAAATAAAATGGATGTCATGGGCCCCTGAAGTAAAAGGCCCCTGAAGTAATTAGGCTAAACTCTATGGAGTTTAGTCTAATTGTGAACAAAAGAACAAAAAATGTACATGTTTACATTCATTCTCAAGATCTAACAGATATGTGGAAAGCATTTCCTTCCCCATTAATAGTAAATTAATATCATAATAAATATCTATATTGTGAAAAAAAAAAAAATTGTGATAATATTTTTGGCCATATCACCCAGTCCTAATTGTGTGCCAATCCATGGAGCTTTCGTCGGAGTTCCACATGGGCCTAATTATAACCTATATTAACTTGAGATGGAAGTCCCTCAAGAATATTATTCTTATAATGCTTCCTAAAATATAACCAGATCAACTTCTGAGTGCCAGCAGAATAAACAGAAAGTGGAAGAGAGAACTTGTAAGATGCACCTGTGTGAGCTGTCTTTTCCTCCTCTCCTGTTTGCACCAGTGTCTTCCTGTATGTTTCTAAGCCTTTCCTTCTCTAGGAGTTCTATCTCCTCATCAGAACTGGTGTGATCTCGGTGAGGGCCTTCCCAGCGATCTGGCGTCTCTACCCACTGTCTCCGTGGCCTTGATACCTTAGGCACTCCGGAAGTGGGCTCAGTTAGAGTGGCAACATCCCTCCTTGAGAACACAATGTTCTCTGGGCCCTGAATGCCCCTTTGCACTCGTACCTCTGGAGAATCAGCTGGGTACTTTGGAGTAATAGAGCCAAAACCATCTCTCTCCAGGGCCTGACAGAAACAATCAACATATGCTGAGAATCAGAGGATTCAAGGCAAGTTTCAAGTCAACAGAGTTTTAAAAAAGCTTAAATTGTGGTTCAATAAGACATTTGTGAAGTTTATTTATTCCTAGTGTTGCTGTATAGAACATATCACAACAATATAGAGTTTTATTTCATTTAAATCAAACCTGTGGAGTACTTGAAGTTTTCCCTATTTTCTGTGCTCCCTCTTGCCCTCGGAGAAACAGATTATACTCCTTGTTTCTCTCATCTTGCAGCTTTTCCTGGGTAGATTCATAAAAGACAAAACCGTTACATTAAAGAAGACCTATTATGCTTTTTAATCTGTAGCGTACACAATCTGTAGTTGCTGTTCGAGAATGAAAAAGGACTGCAAAATTATAAAGAACAAAGTCCACTTTAAAGGGACAGTAAGCACTGTCCTTGAAACGCCTGGATTGTAGTCTTGAGTTTTCTTCCAGATATGTACACGTCACAATATTCCTCATTTAAATAATTCCCACCCATGGCATAAGCAAAAAAGGGGCGGGGCCTGTTTGAGTTGCATTAGTAGCATGTTGAAACTTGCGGTTATGGTAAGGGGTGTGAGTGTGACATTTCCAAAACATGTTCAAAGTGATTGACGAATTACAACACACTGGTCCAGCCGACCAATTAGAGCACATTGTGCTTTCTGGATGGAGGGGCTTATTAGAGACAGGAACTAAACAGAGGCTGCATCCGAAATCAGATACTTCCCTACTATGTAGTAGGCGAAAAACAGTATGTGACAAAAGTAGTAGGCCTATGTCCGAAATGACCTGCTTCTTAAGGGTGCATAGGATGGACACTTTACTATCCCATGAGACTACGGGAGAGGATTTGTGAATGGCAGTGAAGCGACATTTATAACTGATGCTGGTAGGTCACATTATAATGACAGCATTGCGAATGTAGTATGTCCGAATTACATTCATACTATATAATAATAATAATAATTTGAACAGACATATAGAACATACTTTTTTAGTGGTTGTGAATTAATTACTTCTTCGAAAATAAGTAGCTACTCAAGAGAGTATGTGATTTCAAACGCAGCCAGAGTGTTACTGACAGACTGGGAAGAGAGGTGCTGCAATAATGTAAAATATGTGAAAACAAATCAAGACTTTGTAAAAGGGCATAATGGGTCCCCTTTAATAGAACAACACATTTCTATGGTAATAATAAACAAGTATCGAATAAGACTTTTATGTTTGTACAAATTTCAAATGTTTACACAAAACAAATCGGCAGTCCCGCTATATACTGGTTGCCACAAGATAGCTAATCCACTAAGTGTAAGCTAATAATTTGTCATGTCACTGAGGGCTTGCCAAACAGAAAGGGTGGGTCTTTGTGCAACGGACTGAACTGGGTCATGCCAAGGAATGCAGAATTTGCTTTAGTGATCCATACGTAAACAGATGGACAACAAACACAGGTTTACCTTCGCTGATCTCCGTTCTTTTATGGGGAGAGACAGCATGTGGGACTGTGGAAGTGGATCAGCAATCATTTGATTTTTTTTCTAAGAAAGAAATTACTTTATTAAAAAAAATTATTTAAAAAAAAATATGATTAAAAACAGCAACACAAACTACTTAAAACTGTAATTTAAAAGAAACAGGTGTGCAAGTATTTTTTTATATATTTGTTGTATGATTTATTCACTATACATATATACATGTGTGTGTGTGTGTATATATATATATATATATATACACACATATATATATATATATATATATATATATATATATAAATATATAAATTATAAAAGAGGAGCATACTGCACCTCAGACACAAAGCGCCGGTAATCAAGTCGTAGCTCTTGCTTTAACTTCTGCTTTTTTCGTTCATATTCCTCTCCCAGAGGTAAACTGAGTCCAAAACTCTCTTCTGGAAATAAAAAGACAAATTTAAACATTTCCAATGGCATTTTTAAAGAAAATCAAAAATATATGTGTTTTTTTTTTTTTTTTTTTTTACAATATCTAATATCAAACACTGAACATATGCATTTGTCCTTAAATTATACATTTATTGAAAATATAGCCTGCCTTTGGTCTGTTTGGGTTGTGTTTTGTTAGCAGGTTTGATGTTCTCCTTGTTACCAAAACTTGTCTATGAAAGATGAACAATAAAGCAATAACTTTTCTTGAAATATAAATATATAGACATAAAAATTTACGCGTTTAATTTCAAAACACCCAAGCAGCACCATTGTTTTTAGAAATTAAGCTTACCTTCATCTCCATGTACGGTGCTTCCTCTTCTGTGTTCGCCCTTCTCTCCTCCATAAAGTTGCTGATGTTGACATTCATATTTTCCCAAACCAGAATCAGCAGTTGATGAACAGCTCTTGGCAGGAAAGAAGCAGTTATCAGATGAAGCTCTTATCAATAACACAAGACTGACTATGCTGCTCTCTGGACATGGAAATGGAGAAAGACTTTGTTTGGGAGAAGATGTGGAGAGCTGGCGCTGCAAACGCAGAGGTTGTTAAGCAACAACACAACACACGCGCCTCCTCAACCTCCCTCAGGCTCCCACACTTCAGACAATGGCTTCCTCAATCTCCCTCCGGCTC